AGCATTCGATGAGCCTCAGCCGCAGATTTCTTCATATTGAAGCAAAAAATTAAAACCTCCCGCAAATGACGAGAATTTGGCTCGTAAACTGACATTTTCAATCGAGAATAACTTTATGATGCAGACACAAATCGACTAATGTTTCTATGGGGTTATGTTGACAGATGCCCAAGTTTATTGTATGACGTCTATGATCTTTTTTTTTATGGTTTATTTCGACCACCACTTACCGCTAAAGCCATCTATAGGAAAACGGCAGAAGCAAAGTTGTACACTTAATAACATACATCTTTAGATTATAAGGCGCGTTTTATATCTTACGACTTTTAATTAAAATACAAGCTATTATCTATTAATGTTAATTAAAAATTCAAATTTTTTTTGTATCACCTTGTATTTTATACAATTGAATGAGAAAAAGCACGCAAACATATGAATAACATGTTGCAATATTATCAACGTCGATGATATGTCATACATATGATATTTGTTGTTAAGAGTTGAGAAATAAAAAGTATTGTTTACCTGGTGGAATCAAGGTGTGTCCAAAGCCAAAAGCGGCCGATTGGAAAAATTGCTCTATCTGCGGATCGATATTGAGATTGTAACAAATTATCATTTGAATTACATATAAATTACAAGTAATCTAATAAATTGTTATCTATTATGTACGTAAAATTAGAAAATTGATACTTTTTATCTTCGTATACAGAAAGCCTGTTTTCCAATCATGAAGACAACCATTCGTTGATGACAATGTGTTGTTGAATCGCTATTATCCATTTATGGGCTTCATTAAAAATTTCGGCATTGGATTGTGACGTTAACATGAGATACTACGAAATTGAGCCATCTAAACCATATTATACCGAAAGTCAGCAAGAACGAATTTTCGTATAATATGCTTTTTTCCTCGAGCATTTCCTAATTTTGAAACACATATGTTTGAATTTGCATTGAAATAAAATCAAGCGATAACGATCAGAAGTTTGCTCGAAATTTAATTAAGACTGATTACAGTATTTAATTTAAAATGTATCTTGCTCGATTATTGAGGCGTAAAGAGATACTGCGAGTGAAGATTCCCACAGGCGAAACGTCCCATAGATCAGTCACGAAGATGACAGTGCGCGAAGCGTTAAATATGGCCCTCGACGAGGAGTTAGCTCGGGATGAAAGGGTATTCATATTAGGAGAGGAAGTCGCGGAATTTGATGGCGCTTACAAAATAACACGTGGTCTCTGGAAGAAATACGGTGACAAGAGACTGATCGATACACCAATTTCGGAGGCTGGATTCTGCGGTATTGCTATCGGTGCAGCGCTAGCAGGTTTAAGACCGATATGCGAATTTATGACTTTCAATTTCTCCATGCAAGCCTTTGATCGTATTATCAATAGTGCTGCGAAGAATTTCTATATGTCTGGTGGAAGATATTCCGTTCCTGTTCTATTCCGAGGGCCGAATGGTAATTGTAAAGGTTTGGCTGCACAGCACTCTCAATGTTTTGCCGCATGGTACATGAGTACGCCTGGCTTGAAAGTCATGTCACCGGCGACCTGCGAAGATTACAGGGGCTGCTTGAAGTCGGCCGTACGAGATCCCGATCCCGTAATCATGTTGGAGAGTGAAATGCTTTACAACATTGAATTTCCCGTGTCTGATCAAGCTATGGACAAGGACTACCAGATACCTATCGGCAAGGCTAAAGTGGAGAAACCAGGAAAGCACATCACCCTAGTGACACATGGCCAGGCATATATATATACGCTTCAAGCGGCCGAGTTGTTAGCAGGACAAGGAATCGAAGCGGAAGTTATCAATCTACGATCGCTGAGACCTTTGGATTGGGACACGATATTCAAATCAATCAGCAAAACACACAGATTAATGACCGTCGAACTGGGCTGGCCTAGATGCGGAGTAGGAGCCGAGATCATCGCGACAGTGATGGAAAATCCAGTCTTCTTTCAGTTGGACGCACCTGCGGTTCGATGCGCCGGCGTTGATGTTCCGATGCCTTATTCAGAGAAAATGGAGTACGAATGTACTCCGAAGGATCATCATATAGTTGACTATGCTAAACGCATCTGTGGCACAAAATTCTGATATAGTTTATCGATTTATGAACAATAAAGTTTTTCACTTATTGAAATATCTGATGACTCTTGGTGTAATGTCGTGAAACATTTATTGATGATGATGAATAAGTTGGCCATCGGTAATCTAATGGTATTATAATCGGGATACAGGGAAGAAAATCCGACGATGCGTTGCCCGCTTACTCCTACAATATTCCACTAGTAGTCGGACCACTTTGGATATATCATAAATCAATCCACTGTCTAAGTATGATCTCATTCAGCTGCGATATATTGTATATCGAAGTTTTGACTTGAGTTGAAAAGCAATGTTGAAAAATAATGTCGCTTGTTAACGGAATTGCTACGTTTCGAGGACCGTAACATTTTCATACCTGTTGACGAGGACCGTTATTCGGCGAATGATCCGTCCGATAATCGTATCGTATAAAACAGGCATTTCTATATGTCCTGATTTATTTCTGTATCGATGATTCTTTGGAATTTTTAATATATTTAGGTAGGCATGCTGGTTTCTGAGCATCTAAAATTTTCTCCACTATCTGTTGACTTTGAGGATGCATTTTTCCATTGTATTACGTTTTATATAATAATACTGTTCTAGTCCTAACTAGTTATCATTTAGTTTCTGAAACTAAATATATCTAAAAAATAAATAGGAAATGACTGTAACGATCGAATGTTAACATCTAAAAACTGTGTGTGAAACACATATTTAATCTAATAGATAATAAATATGCATGTGCGCTTGCATAATTTACATTATTTTTGTCTATAAATTTATATACACGGAATATATTAAACAGAATATATTCATCTATAAAATATAAAATTATTAAAAAAGGTTTTCAGATATATATGTGTATATATATATAT